TTTCCGAATATAAACTGTCATAGGTACATAAACGAAAACATTTAAATGGCCCTGACAGAGAGAACAGAAAAAGGAAGAAGTGAGATAGAAGTTTAGATGGAGTTACTGGGGAACTTACTGATTTCGCGCATGCGCACTCCATTTTTGCCAACATAAAATCAGGAGAGTTGCGCTACTGTATATACTGTGGTTCTAGTCTTCTTGTAGTCAAAGGAATCATGAATGCAGCGAGTGTGCATGAAGAGAAACGGAACGAACTTCTATGCTTCTATGCGCATCATGCAAGAAACGGAACGCACCCTAGGTTATCAACACTGCTCCACACGCTCTATGGAGGCAGGAGCCAATGGCTGCGTTCAGCAGACTCAACAGAAGTTTTGCAACCGTTTTATGATTATCTGCTGAGATAGGACCATTCTTCTAGATCTAAAAGTATGATCCAATTAGCGCGAAGGAAACTTCCAACAGTTGCAAAACAAACGTTCTGCTGAACAGTTTTGCAACCGTTTTATGATTGTCTGTTGAGATAGGACCATTCTTCTAGATCTAAAAGTATGATCCAATCAGCGCGAAGGAAACTTCCAACAGTTGCAAAACAAACGTTCTGCTGAACGCAGCCAATAATTAAGAAAAAGAAGAGGATAGTCGGCAATCTTAAGTCTTAATCAGTTTTAATCTAAATAGGTGACTATGATTTTTCGCATCTATTAGTTGTTAATTGTACAGCAAGTCATTTAGCTCGATTAATGGGAAAGAATAAAATCGAATTTGGTCAGTCTTAAGAAAATCAGTAGTCTTAGTTGTATGTACATACAAGTTGGCTGTTGGCCAACTTCACCGATTCACCGATAAGACTTAGGACCATGGCACACAAAAAAACTTAAGCAGTAAAATGTAAGCAGTAAGCGAATTGACCAATTACAGTAGAGTTCATAAGGCCATAACATAAGCAGTAGCGAATCCAACATGTTGATTTCCTTACTGCTTACGTCTTACTGTCTTAAGTTTTTTGTGTGCCAGGGCCCTTAGGACTACCGACTACCGACTCAGAGAATCAGCTTTAAAGTTAACGACTATTGAGGTTAGGAAATCTGTCACAGCCACGAAATACTGCGATGCAAGCATGCGCTGCGGTTACAAATTCGCTACTTTAAAACAAGTTCTCAGCTTTAAAACACAAATTCACTACTTTAAAACAAATTCTCTGCTGTAGAACACAAATTTACTACTTTAAAACAGATTCTCTGCTCTAAAACATAAATTCACTACTTTAAAACAAATTCTATGCTCTAAAACATAAATTCACTTTAAAAACGAATCTACTGTTTTCAAAACATAAAAATAATAAGAAAATAATTTGTGTTTTTAAAATAGTAAATTTGTCTTTTTAAATCAATGAATTTGTTTATAAAGTAGTGAATTTGTTTTTAAAGCAGAGGATTTGTTTTAAAGTCGTGAATTTGTGACCACAACGCATGTTTGCATCGCGGTATTTCGCGACTGACAGATTTCCTAACCTCAATAGTAGTTAACTTTAACGCTTAATATCTCGATTCGCGGGGCAGAGCGACGCTTATTTCTGCCAGATTCTTTCATTTCATGCAAAAATGCGTCGAATAAGCCTAATTTTATTGATTTTTGAGGTGATTGTGCTAAACTGTATAATTACCCCTAATTTTATTGATTTTTGAGGTGATCGTGCTAAACTGTATACAGTATAATTACCCAAGTCTACTTGCATCATGAGTTCTGTGCAGTGAATCGTAGCGGGTAGGCGGGTCAGTCTAGTGAATTTAATGTAATTGAACTACTCACAATTAATCAAAATAATGGCAGCGGTACGAATAATTAACGACGATCGTCATTTCAACGGCGAGTTGACAAATGCCGGGCAAAAACTCGTCATCGTAGATTTCACAGCGAGTCGGTAAGCATCTTTTAGATTATATTCCTTGATTAATGTCTATCAATTCGACTGTATTACAGCGTTCTGGAATTTTTAACACGTATCTACACATTCTTCATCATTATACGCTTGTGTATTGATCTGTCCATTTCTTCGAATAATATTTTTTCATCCAACCTCGATAAAAGATTCGTCGTCAAAATTAGAATGCGAATTGTCGAAAGTAAGAGTTTAATCCCCTGTTAAATGAGAAGTTTGTCGATTTCAGAGAAGGCGATAATAAAAAGATCTCTTTGCACTCCTTTTTTGTTCTTAAAAAAATATAGCCTCAAAATCGTGAGATAAATTATTTACCTATGTTTTTGTTTTTTTTTTTTCTTTATCACTGAATACAAACCATCTGTTCTATGTTTTTTGTTGTATATGATTAACAACCTTGTTTTTTTTTCTAAATAAGCTTTTATTATATTATATATAATATTTTATAATATTATTTGAATTTTAATTGTAGTTTGAAAAGAATCAGTTTTTTGACTGCTCGTAATTTTTGATGAAATTATAATTTTTTAAAACCAGACAACTAATTTAGAGTCTATTTTAATCCCTTCAGAAATGAAGGGATTAAAATAAAAATTATACAAATCAAAATCTTGCTTCCCAAGAAAAAGATTAGATGTGTCAAAAAGTATGATTTGTCAGATCCTTATATTCTTTGCAATATTTTTTTTCATCTACTTCAGAAAAGGTATATACATATATTTTTTTTTACTCTAAAACATTTGTAAGACATGATTTTACCAACCTTGATTCTAGAGAAGCATATTAATACATTATAATTTCATGTCTGTTATGAAGCTTTCCAAGAGACACAAAGTAACATAATGATTCTTTTATCTTTATTTAACTGTGCCAAACAATAAGGATGTAGGGATTTATTGTGTTGTACTGGATAGTATGTTTGTATTACAAGAATCGTGATTCACACTAATTAATGTATCTCGCCTGGTTTTCAAACTGTGCAGGTGCGGACCTTGTCAGAGAATCGCCCCGATATTCGAGCAACTGTCCCTCAAGTATCCCAAGGCGGTGTTTCTGAAGGTGGATGTGGACAAATGCACGGATACCGCCTCGATAGAGGATGTCAGAGCGACGCCTACCTTTGTCTTCTACCGTAGGCGTACGAGACTGGGCCACTGTCAAGGCGCAGATCCAGTGATATTGGAATCCAAGATCCAGCTCATTCAGCAGTTCTATGGCAGCGGTGATGCCGACGACGCAAACAACTCGGGTAGGGCAAATTCCCTACCCAGCCGAAACACTGTACGAAACACTGAAAAAGCCTACTATCATATCTTTGGAATGATTTTACTCGTCACGGTTCTGTTTTTTCTGGAATAAGTATGAATTGAAAGCTTGCCACTGATTGCTGTTTAACGTTAACTGATTTGCAACAGGCGGAATTTTCTATGAAAATTAATTCGGTTACTTCAGTTTAGCGCAAATCTGGCGTCAGTTGCGCAGTTTCATAATATATCATATTTTTCTCGATAAATTATATGTGTAAATGAAATTTTTTAATATTTATACTTTCAAAACTTCGTTGCGCGCTGAAAAGAGAAAATCTTGACTTACAATTTTTATTAAGTCCATGTTAGAAAATTTTTTGGCTTTATCATTATGGCAACAATTATTTCAGTTAATTGTCCATTTTGTATGAAGCAATGGCCTTATTGTGAAGTTTATTGTAAAGTCTCTTCTTAGTCATCATCTCCTGTTTTATTTTAATGGCATATGCACAGAATACAAGAATGTTATATGTCTTCCAAAAGTTCTCTTTATTTTGATCACATAGCAGAATAACAGAAACATCACTTTGTAAGCGTTCAGTTGATTCACAAAAGGAATATAATTATTAAATAATAAATTGGATTGGAAGGGGCTACGAGCTAAGCTGGATGTTTATGCTAATTATATACAGGTAACTGAAATAACGCCCACTATTCATATAGTGCTATTCCCAATAAAAAATTGAGATGAAAAGTCCTCTACCATGCAATTTTTGCAATATTTTTTTTTTAGTTACCCATGAACAAAATGTCTAAAATTGACGTAATATATAAGACAGCTTTAAAATAGCTTTAAGAGTTCTTTAAGAAAAATCTTCAAAATCTTTCACAAAGAACATGGAAAGATATCACAAAATTGTCTTATACGATTTTATTCGTTTATTTAGCAATATTTAGAAATTAATATCTCGTTAACTATTGCGAAAATGCAAAATGGTACAGGACTTTTCGACTTAGTTGTTTATTAGGAATAGCACTGTATGATTAGCGGGCGTTATTTCTGTTACACCCTGTATATTTCTATGAGAACAAACGATAAATAACATTTTGACCCTTGGGTCATTTTCAATGTTCGAATAATCGTTATCCTAATCAAATTCTTACAATCTAAAATCGTCCTTATAACGCATAAATATGTGTAATAGTCCCTAAACGCATATCTTACGCATAGTTGTTAATCTTGTCGCTTGCAATAGAACATGAACGGATGGATGGCAATAGTCGTTAAAGTCTTAAAACCTATTGTAGATCCAGGGTAAGTCCTGATGTCATCTTGATAAATTGTCAGTGGTGTAAAAGGTCAATTTTTTAAAAAAGTGTAATACCAATACACGGTACGCAATATACAGGGTGTTTCCAAATTAAATGGCAAAACTTCGGGAGCGTGTAGAGGAGTAAAAAACTAAGAAAAAAAGTCCTATAGACATATGCTCCTTTTTGCTTTGTTTCGCAGGAAATCACGAAAAAAGAAAAAAATATATTTAATTTATTATTTTAATTAT